CGTCAGCCACACCCTGGATTTTTTGCTCCCATGCTCTATATACCCACTTTTCATCACACTGAAACATGCGATTCAGATTATAGCGCTCCACCCGACGCTTATACCGCCTAATACGGCTTGCCCATGCACAGACCCTTTGCTTCAGGAAGTCGATGCGCTCTGTGGCGCATGATAAATAATCCCGAGGACTGATATCAGTCCCCAAGAACGCCCGCCTCACAAAGCGCATCACTCTTGGCCTAGTGTTACCCTCCCTGAAGCAAATGAGTTTACCTATAAGTGTCCTAGCTTCGGCGATACGACGTTCAATCCTGCACTGCCAGACCGGTAAGGCTTGTTTCGGTCGTGCAGTCATGTCTGGGAACTTGACATTGGCTACACGACACGCCGCAACGGCCGCGCAGTACAAAATCGAATGTGTATCACCGAGATTTTGACTGCTTTCAAAATAACTACTAAGCAGCGAATCCAGGACACCTACTAAGGCTTTATTTTTTTTATGCATGGGCAAGCGAGGTAATCGCGGTCTAAGTTCGGGAGGAGCCATTCTATACTCTCGAATCGCATCCTCCAGAGCACTCCTCACTCTATCACTGTACTGTGTACTTACTGTAGCAGCCCTACCTACCTCCTCCACATCACTATCCTCATACCGCGGCAGGATTGCACGTGCTGGTGTTTCCACCGCGGTCAGTGACGGGACAGGGCCGACACGGCTGCTCAGCATCTCTAAGCGTAGCCTATCAAGCACGGTGTCATCCAACCTATGACTACGTTGAATGACCCGCACCTGATCCGAAAGTCGCTGGGCCGAAACGTTGAGGGCTGGTTCCAGTTCCTGAAACAGAGCATGCATCCTTACACGGTACGCGGTGAGATTAGTTCCTCCCTCTGTAGACCCATAGTATGCGCGCATGACGTTCTCATTTATTGTCTGAGTCCATCGCATGCGCGGCACACAACCACCGGCAGCGGGGGCCCGGTTCGGAACCGGGTGGCTCCTGGACCCTAAGCTTGCTGGTGGCCGGGGTCTCCCCGGCCGGCGCACAGGTGTTGGCGACGTCGGCGGGGAGAAGTACTCGTTGCTTGAGCTCGACGCTGTCGTAGCCACCGACGGGGTTTCTTCGGTCGGCGGGGGCGGCTGCAAGGCGGAGCTGAGCGACGAGTCCGGAGATGGAGGGCGTGTTTTTCTTGTTCGTCGTGGTCTTAAAATCATTGTTTGTCTCGTGAAATAGCCATCAGAGTTATATTGACAGGTGTCATCACATCAGCACTTTTTTCATTTTCTTCAAATACATGTTTTCTAAAATTTTGAATAATAAACATTTTAAATATGACTTAAGCACAATTTAAAACTGCTTATCGTGTATATAACGACGTATTTAATATGTGAAATTTAATTTTTATCGGAATGACATTTCTTGAGACGTTTTTCTTTTGGGGGTTGCCACGTTATTATTATTATTATTATTATTATTATTATTATTATTATTATAGTTACTCTTATGCATTAACTTTAAAAACAGGCAACTATCTATTAATCTACATACTCTACATACCTGAATCTAATGTTTATTATAATAGATGCTTAAATCTAAAGAAAAGTTTACTAGAAAAAAATCCACGCGGACCAGGCAGCGGACGGGACTCGAACCCGCACCCTTCGCTATCCGGGCGAATGCCCGGAATACCATTATGCTACCACGGCCCCATTCGCCGCGTCGAAATTTTCCTAGCCTTAAGCTGCAAGGCAGCGCCATCTCTTCGCATTGTAGGTAATCCACAATGTCAAATGAATACTTTTTCAAGTATTAAACATTTGAAAGAAGAAATAGCAATTATAATTATGTTTTTTTATTTAAAAAAACATAACTATAATTGCTATCACCAGGCAGCGCCATCTCTTCGCATTGTAGGTAATCCACAGTTTTTAAATAAAAAAACATAATTATAATTGCTATTTCTTCTTTCAAATGTTTAATACTTGAAAAAGTATTCATTTGACATTGTGGATTACCTACAATGCGAAGAGATGGCGCTGCCTTGCAGCTTAAGGCTAGGAAAATTTCGACGCGGCGAATAGGGCCGTGGTAGCATAATGGTCAGTGCATTCGCCCGGATAGCGAAGGGTGCGGGTTCGAGTCCCGCCCGCTGCCTGGTCCGCGTGGATTTTTTTCTAGTAAACTTTTCTTTAGATTTGTTTTTTATTATTTTAATATGTTCAGTGTATATGATTTATAGAAGTTCTCAGGGGTGTCCGTCAATAATATTCGTTTCTACAGTAATTTAAATATAATTTCGAATCTAGGAAACAATTTTTCATGATTATTGGTCTTTAGGCCAAACATGTATGGAAACTGATCAATCTCCTTTTAAGTGAATAATCCCTTTTAAATTTCGTAATAAAATAGTTTTTTTTTTTATTTATGTGACAGGAAAAAAATCAATCAAATATAATATACGTTCAACAACAAATCAACGCATTTCAATCCAGCATTATTTTAAGAAATCAATAAAAGATATTGTTCATGTATTATTTTGGACACGACATGCAATTTTAATATACAAAATTATGATGGCTTAAAACTATTGTGTCAATACAGGTTTTATGCATAATTACTTTAAGAATCTGTATTATTGTTGCATACAAACATCTATGGTGTTCATTTTAAGAGTTTTATTATAATGCTACAAAGTAATGAATTCGAATAAAGACACAGTATTAATAAACATACTTTCATAAATTCATAATTATGATCGAATATACCAATAGTAATTATACTGTGCAAAACTAATAACACTTTTATATTCGGAGCTCCTTAACTTGTAACAATGTACATAATAATCCAAATAATATTGAATTTAAAATCTTAATGCTAACTGTAATTTTGTATTCCCGCCATTTAAATAGTCAACTTCGGAAAATCTGTCAAAATAAATATTGAAACTTTATTATCGAGAACAACAACTTACATTGGTGTTCAAGTTAAATTAAAAAATATCGCATTACTCATGAATAAATTTATTTGTGTACAAATTCAAACAAGTAAGTTAATAGCCGATAAATTTTGACACTTATTGTGTCAATATTGAAAATTTCTACATTAATTACTAAAATATATACCTATTAGTTATGGACAATCAAAATATCCGCATGATAAATTCAACACCGAAATATAATGTTATGATTACTACTCTCTCAACAAAAACAAGATCAGAGAAAATAATACGAAATGGTTATTTATTAAGGCCAATTCAAACTCAGTTTTTACATAGTATTATCAATATGCTTTTAACTGAAAAATATTCTTCTTTTCTTTATACAACTTTGGCCAATTTTGTACCACAAGTATTATCAAGCATTTATGTGTAGAAAAATACGCGGAATTCATCAAAAATATAAATGGAGTTTATTATTGTTTATTTAAGGAAATGAATTTAAACCAATAGTATTTGCTGTCATCTGCTAGTCAATGACAAATTGCGTCTAAATTATAACGTTTCTTTATACGCCACCTCCCTAAGATTAAAACAAAAAGGGAAAATAGGGCACGCACGGCTCAAAAGTGAGCCGCTTAAATTGTGGTCATGCACCACAATTCGCTTGTCACAATTGGACATTCAAACACGATGCATGTGCACTCGATATAACAATATTGCTTATATTCTGTGTTATAAAGATAAACCAATGCCTTTGATGCTTTATAAAGAACACAAATATGTAGTTCAAAATCACTCATAGTCTGTGCGGAAAGAGAATGGGCGTGGCGAAAAACGGAACTAACATTAAGATTTTTATTTGGCAATCAAACCCAGCAATCTGTAAAACGTCTAAGTTTTGTATTGATACGGATTTGTTTGTTGTTGTGATTTCTTGCTGTTTTTTGTATTTAATCATGTCTAAAAGGGGTAACACCTTACAAATACGGTAGAAAAGCACTACAGCGCCTTCCAATCTAAACCCCATTCTCTTTCCGCACAGACTGTACAAGATACGGTACGGTCATACAAGCATCAAATAAAATATTAATGCTGCTTCTGTTTCAGCGTTTAAAATTACCGTCTTCATTACTTGATCTTGATATACTTACGGGCATAATAGTAACAAAGGAATTGAAGCGACATAGCCAATAATAAATAACTATTTCATTATTGTAAGGTAAGAGAGAGAAATTCACATAATTTTTTTGTTTTAAAATTAATAGCGTTTCTTTACCTTTCCACAATAAAAATGATTATTATTAGATGAAATGAAAGTAGAATTGTTCTACGTTTCAAACGTCTACGGAAATAATAATTAACCGGAGCTACATAATTTGAATTCATTAAAGCAAATTTACTAATTCAATAATCGAACAGAGAAACTAAAAGCACGTGATTCGCATTGATCAAGTGTTAAGCTAATGGTGATCGATCATAGGTGAATAATATTATGCAAATTATGCTATTAATATTTGTAAAACAATACAAAAACATGAATTTAGGTCAATATTGACTGACAGGTTACTTCCTGATCTTGAACATAATGAACATAGAAATACTGCTAAGACTTGATGTATCATATTTCTATTTTGCTATACGGTGTAAACTGTGTATTGAAAACATTTTTTTTTCGTTATTTGGCGTTATGTGTCATCGTATATATTTGTTATTGAAATATTTAATAATTTTGCAGAAGCCACTGGCACATACATACAAACTAACACTTATAATATTAGTAGGAATGGTAGTAGGTATATCTTTCATTTATGTTATGTAAGTGCCTCAAAGCTTTTAACATCACATTCACGGGGTTGGATTAAACAAATAGGAATGTATGTTTAAAGGTGGTATAATTTCAAACAATATACATATCTAAATTTGTTTAACGCTAAGCTAAAAGGATTAACCACTATCCACTTTGCTTAACACTTGTACGATGTAAATCTTGGTTTAACTAAAGTAAGCAGCTTATAAAATGGGACGCATGGAAAGTTTCGATACGAGTTAGTATTAAAGATTTATCCTACACACGACTTCCAGGCGAGACCGCCGCAAGCCATGGCTCCGATCAGATAAACCGCCACCCCGGCTGCTACTATCAAGATCACATACATTTTAATATTTTTCCAGAACAATGAGCGCTGCAATGTTCTCGATGTTGATCTGAATGTAACCGACTGAAACAGCAGAAAACACACATGTAATCGGTTTCATGTAATGCCATGCAGAAAAAACAAACAATTAATTCTTAGATCATACAAAGCTAGAATTTTTATGTTATTGGAATCGGTTTTAAAATTAATTAATTGATTAAAAGAGTTAAAACATTAACAGTTATGATTAGTAAGTAACATTCTTTTAAAGTATTCTATGTTCTACATAAGGTGTATTAACATAGCAATATAACCACAGAAAACGCATTCTCGAGATCTCGATACTGGACCATATTTAGGTACTTATAATACCTGAAGGTCAAGTCCAAATTTAAGTTAAGTAACCAATAACACAGTCGTATCATTACATAATTGTACGATCATTACAATGAATTCATATTAACTCAGATAATACAAGGTTACCTAATGATAGTGTATTTTAAGTACCCTTATACAAAACATAGGAAAAATAATAACTTCTGTTCAACATAATTAGCTATAAAAACTTTATCAGTTTCATTTCATTACTAGGCCGAGTTTATGGTTTACATAGATATCACAAATTTGATAGTGGTATAAATAAATTTTAAATGTGATAGATGACAATATGTTACAAACCGAAACAAAAAAAATGTACTAATATCGACTTACCGTAGTAGCTAAGTTCTCAGCTTTGTTCATTATCAATTCTAATTTTTCGCCACGCATTGTCATGCTGTCTGAAAACAAAAATAGGTAGGTATATAAAAAGTAAGATTCCTAGTATTACCTAATTACTGTTTGATAATATTTTAATAAGCATTAATATGCAGGATAGCTTGATGGCGCAGGTGGATGGCGCGTTGAGTCTGCCAAAGGAAAAACTTATCTCAAGCTCCACCTTGCTTCGGAGGTCACGTTAAGCCATTGATCCTAGCTGCATCTGCAATTGCTAGCACCCATCAATCCGCACTGGACACATGAGCATATTCCATCCATTGGGAAGACCTGTGCCTTAGCATTGGGGACATTTATGGCGTAGAGATGGTTAATATACACGCATTTAATATCTTAACTTTTTATAATAGAATGTTCATTTATAGCTATGTTCATAATTGTCTTTTTCAAAATTACAATAGGGTTTTGTTGGTCCTAATTTAGAAAAAATCTATAAATATAAGTATTATTGCAAAGCTATTGCATAGGCAAAAATCTGTTGGAATTTTTAAGTTTAGTTCATAAAATTATGAAAATGTATTTTAAATTCTATTCAGTTTTCAGTTTTTTAATTCTATTCTTAGTTTTAGTTACTAAGACTCTGCTGTTCTTCTGTCTGTCACCAGGCTGTATCTCATGAACCTTGATAGCTAGTCAGTTGAAAGTTTCACAGATGATGTATTTGTCTTGCTGCTATAACAGCAAATACTCAAAGCAGAATAAAATATATATTTAAGGGGAGGCCCATCCCATACAAAAAACATACTATTTTGCTGCATAATAATAACGGCAACAGGTAGATGCTTGAAATATCCGCATAATATTAAATTGTATGTTTATCTTAAAAATAAAAGAAATAGAATAAATTGTTAAAGAGGGATAAAGCAACAATATTAAATACTCTAGATACACCAACACAAACAAAATCATGCCCGAAACCTGGCTAAAAGGTACATTGGACGATCCATGGAGCTTCGTAAGATGATTGTGTAGTCTAAACACTATAAGGCATAAGGCATTATTTAAACATTGAAAATAGCATTTAAATCTCACATTATGAGGTTTTTATTAAAACGCATGCATCAAAGAGTTATGACGGTCCGATATGGAAGCTTGTAAAATTTTACGATTTATTGCTATATGCGAAAGAATAAAGACCTTATTTCTTTGACTCTACGCGCAATTCTGAATGCGCTGTCAGCAATATAGCAGGTACGGACCGCGAGGAAAAGAGACAGCTATATTACCGACCATGCAATTGAATATCACAAATATTTTCTATTAAATCAGTTTATAGTAAGTATGCGTTAAATTAACAAACATTGATTAGAGGCCCATCGAAAAAAGGTCATTTAAGTCTTGTAACATCCTATAAGTATTTATTTCGCATTTTTCATGGAGCTCAGCAACTTGTTGACTTTTCAACAGTCCGCTCATGACTATGAACTACGATGTGCTTGACTCACTTATTAATAGGGACACATTTTGAGCGCACATGGTGTATCTAGGGTATTTAATATTGTTGGAATAAAGGCATTAGGTACATGATTTTGTTTTGCCGTTTTTTGCTTGAATATTTAATATTACATCTGATGTTGTATAGATAATGAATGGTACAGAACCCCTAGTGTGTGAGTCAGGATTTTTTTCTAATCTAACCTACTATTAAGGTGCCATTCAGTTCAGTATAACGCTCGTGCTTTGAGCTATAATGCTATAATAGTGACCTTTATCTAATATAGTCATCATCACACACCATTACTTCACACTACGCTATACTTTATTACATGGACTAGTTGTATATGCTATGAACTTCTTAGCAATCCATGGATTCACTGTGCAGGTACCGGATTGGTTGTGTGGCAGAGAGAGAAACTCCGAGCAGTTCCCAGGACTTATTATTACATTGTATTTCTACATTCAGAATGTCAAAGAGTTTTTAAGATTATATTTTATATTATTGTTACAAAGAAACTTTATTTTGTAGAATACTTACATTGTGAAATGGATAACAATGCTATAATGTCATCAAAATGATGTGTAGTTTACTTTGTCAGCTCATCAATAATATAATATATACAAAGGTAGACATGAATCATGGCATACAGACACAAAGATAAGGACCAGATAAATGTTTGTTTTGAATTCCTTATCTAATCCAGAAATTACTATTAATGAACAGCATAGTGATTGTATAAATTAATTAATAAAATTTTAAGACATGAAAATCCCAGGCCCACCGATTCCTATTTTCTGATGGACAAATCAGTAAACTCTATAGGCAGAGGGCTACCTCTGGGAAACTAAAATGCAACTTACCAATATTTTTTACCATTATGTTTTTAAGCTCATCCAATTCTCCATGCACCCTTGATATGGTATCAAGATCTCGTGATTCACTGTAGTGCTTCATTTCTGTAGCAAGAACACGAGCAAATTCACTGTTCATAGCGTAAGGGATGGCTGTTTGTGCTGTATCACCGAATACTGCTATAAATCTTCTTTTGATTTCATTTAAAAAAAGGAAGGCTCTAGATCGTTGGAATTTCTGGAAAAAAACATGTGCTATTATTTTGTTATCTATTTTATTTAAGCATTAAACTACTTGATTTTTGTATCAAAAAAAATATTTTTTAACAATGAAAAATAGGTGTTTTACCTAGTATATTTTAGGGTAGATAAAGATTCTATGAAATCCTAATAAATAAATACTTACATCATCAGTAATACAAAAATAAATTAACTTATTTTCCGCAATGTAATGGAACAGATAATTTCCATGAGAGTATGTCAATTTATCATCGTGTGGTGGTATTTTGGACAATATTTGCTCCGTTACTTCTGTAAAGTTTCCAGCACAAGTAGCATATTTCGCCAGCACAACAGTACCACGAGCAACAACACTAAATAATATAGGCATCTTTAATTGTTTAATATTATGACGACTCGCGATTAATAACACAAAGAAGCAATTGGAAACCCAGTAGGTGTCAGTCAAAACACGATTATTTAAATATTGAAAAACCACCAGTCATCGAACCACTACTTTAATAGCTCTTATTTGATACCATTAGATACTTAATTTCTCAATGGTTCACATGAATTAGGAAATAAGAACTAGTCAATGTGAATTACGTTCGAATTACACAAAATATCTACAAATAAATATTTTGAGAGTGAACTATGATAGAATTGACTGATTGACTGATTGAATGAATGGTGAACTTACTTTTTTTTTAATTTCTTTACCCATTCTGGGAGGGCAAAGGGTAATGCACCTATACAGCCAATTCTTAAGTTTATTAATCTGTAATTTAAATATGATGAATTTACTTATCACGATGACAGATAACGTAAGTGGATTGCCATTTGAAAATAGAATGACCTCAATTTGGCTAGGTCCAAACTTATAGCGTACTACCCAACTTAGTTGGTAAAGAATAAAGCGCATATATCGAGAAAAGCTTGTAACAATTTTTGTTATCACCGACTAAACACAGGGCTTTGTATGAGACTCGAAATTAATTAATCTATAATCAGGGCGCCGTATTACTGATATTTGAGGGAGATAAAATAAAAAATCAATAACCGCAGTGAACAAGACCTTTTATATTTTCACTATTCAGATGAAATTTTCAACATACAGTGATACAATTTTTACATATAACAGATATCTTTGAAGATGGCTTTTATAAATTCAAGTATTGATTATAAGTGACGAACATACCGTCAAAACAGGTGTACAAACAGATATATTTATGTTAATATTCTAAGGAAACAATTTGTTTTAGCAAGTATCGTACATACAGATATATTTATGTTAAGATTCTAAATAAACAATTTGTTTAGCAAATATCAAGCTACTTACATTAATGAATTTACAGTTTACTACTACAAATCCTTTATTATGTTCTAACAATCAGAAACTTCGTACTTCGGAGAATGCACTGGTTAAAGATTAAATATGTTCAGAGTTTACTTAGCTTTCAAGATCTTGGTACCATCAAGCGATTCAGGTATCCACGTGGGTTGTAACAAAATCTGCTGTCATCACATGTACTCGTTTTCGATCAAGATTGCATTCACAGGCTCATTTATATATATATAGCGTACTTCTTTATATATATATATATATATATCCAAAGAAATTCCAAGCAGGATTAATTAATTGAAATTATCGTATACTGTTTTTAATTAGCCACCTCACAGGACCTAGAAACAATTACACACATTTCCTATAGTTCAATAAAAAACCTAAATTGACCTACAACCTAACTAGTTAGATATATTGGACTTACCCGTTAATCCGGGGAAAATATATTAATTAATTATGCACTGACTATAACTGCCAGTCACTGTGCAATTTACTAGATGTTCCAGAGTTCGGTTAGCAGACAAAAGAGAATGAAACCGTCTGCGCAAAGCTATTTATAGTGGCATAGGGTCACGTGTGCCTACTAGCAAATTTCTCCTCAAATCACCATATTTGGTGCGAGGAAATGACAGGACCGGTTAGGCCGGCTCCGCCCATCTCCCACCAAGAAACTCCTTCTAGAACATTAGCTATCACGCAATCTACGCGTGTAATTTTATTTCACACTATTACATACAACTCCATCTACCTCAACTTTCAAACGTAACTATCAAATTTTTCTTCAGAATATATTCCGTGCTTCTTTAAAACAAATTACATTATTCGATGATGAATACGTATGGCGATAGATGGCGCTTTGATTAATAATATTACTATAACTTAATATTATAAAATTATATTGCTACAAGCTATAGGTATATGCTATAGCATCCATTAAGTGCGCTGCGTAAGCGGCAAAAGTTACATAAAAATCATATATGATGAAATTGTTCCTCTAAAAAAAGTTCTATAAGAAAAGTCCGCGACCGCATGTGAATTTGACCTACTATCTACAACCTTTTTACTTAAATTAATACGGGTGACACTTACCATGGAGCAAAACCAAAGAGGAGATGTTGTATAGCGTTTATTCTAAGGAATCAAGTGAAGCCACTGATAGGAGAAGCGGGGGGGGGGGGGGTGCAGAATGCCAATAGTACCAACACGGCGAGTAGCGAAACTAAAATCAACTACTTGATAATTAAAACAACACACATTAGTTGGCGCCGGACTAAGGATGTTATTATTGTGAATGAATGCGAAAATAGTATATTATAAATAGAAATCCTAACATTTATTTGCATAATTTAACACGGAGATGTAGAAGCAAAAATCTGTTTTGATTAACCCTTAAACAGGCCGCGGTAAACCGCTACTGTATATTAAGTGTTATATATGGATTTAGGCTTAAAATAACGCCCTTTCCTATTTCTTATCAACAAATTACTGAAAAAACACTAAAATAGCTGAAAAAATGATGTGGGAAAACATAATCCCATTGCCTGGGTAGAGACAACTCTTATCTGCATATCTATATATAAAATGGTGAAGGCTAGTCTGTTCATAATTTATTTATTTATTTAAACTTCATTGCACAAAGACAGTACAAATGGCGGACTTAATGCCATATGGCATTCTCTACCAGTCAACCTGAGAGCTGGGTACTGAGAAAAACAAGGCGGTGCGAAAATCTGGGAAGAGAATTATAAATTCTTCATGAATTCATAAACACATAATTTAATTAGTTTAATTACACAAAAATTATATTATATAATTATATATAATTATATTTAATTATATATAATTTATTTATTTTACTTATTTACTTTTATTTTGTAAAGAGTTTCAAATAAAACAAAAATATTATTCTTTCGTATTATAATCATAACTGTAATTATTTTTTGATGAAATGTATAAATGAAATATATTTATGCCCCAGAACCAAAAGGAGCTAGGTGGAACGCTTTCATACATGCATCAACGCATAATGTAACTTTACAAATTTCACACATGTATTTTGAACGCTTTTCTTGTTTGCGTGTACTGCAGAATCGGCAACGCTTAAAAGTCGACAATTTCAAAAAATGTTCTTGCGGGCTCAATCTTATCTCGCCAGCACACTAAAAACTCCGCCCTTTTTGTTTTTGAATTTAACTGGATCTTGTTTTTTTAGTGTCAGATATTGAGACTTCAAACTTCTGGCCAATCGCAATCTAAAATCCCTGTGAATGTTTTGGCGAGTTTCATTTTTGTGTTTATACAATATATATGAATTAATCACAGCGCTCTCAAAAAGGGACCAGAACATCCTAAACCAGGATTTATTAGATCTGCGACCTATAGAATACGAACTTCGGAAGTGATCAAAATGATCTACTCACCCCATATGTCTCGTATATTCTGCTATCGCAGATGGGCAAATTATATTCTTTTTTTGCCCATCCTTTTGAGTTCTTTGTATTGTTTCAGTTCTTTTAGGGTCAATAGCAGTAGTAATTACGTAAACATCTTTTGAGTCTTTCCATTTTATTACAGCTGAAGGAGGGCAAACCCGGAAAGTAAACTCACCTGGTTCGAGTTTATTTTCCTTGATCAGTTGTCGCTCTTCCGGAGTTCGAGCTTTTTGAATAGCTAAATCCTTAGGAAGACCTTTTCGTTGCATCCGAACAGTTGCATTCGCGAAAATTCCTCTGTTATGAAGGCATTCCATAAGAGCTACAGAAGTAAAAAAGTTATCAAAGGTCAATAGTGTATTCCTTGGTAAACTTTGAGTCAATTTGTTTACAACTCTGTAACCCAGCCCTTCTTCGTTAGATTCATTATCTTTGCCTACGTATATGTCGCACTGATAGAGATATCCACTTTCAGAGTCACAACGGCACCATGCTTTAAACCCTCTTTTTATTGGCTTCATAGGCATGTACTGCTTTTTAGTATCACGCCCCTTAAATTTTATCATACTCTCGTCTATTGACTGAGATTGTGAATTGGTGGCATTCTCTTGAAAAGTCCTGTTTAGTATAGAAAGCATAGGTCTTATTTTTTGTAATTTATTGTGGTCACTGTGGTCACGGGGTAAATGGGTTGTAATATCACACGCGTGTATGTTCTCCAGAAGATTTTTGAATCTTTTGCAAGTCATGGTACCACTTATTTCTATATTGTTGTAAAATGGATCTGAGCTCCAATATAATTCAATATCTGGCAAAGGGTTTAGGCCCATGAGAATCGCGATTGCAAGAAATGCTTTGACCTCATTTACGTCAGTATCTTTCCAAAACTTGCTACGCTTTAGTCTTGCATATTTATTAGTATATAATACAATCATTTCAAAAAGTTCTTCTGGAAAAATGTTATTGAAATAGGTACTGTATGGGAGTGCTTCTATGATTGTATTCTTTTGTTGGGTGCAAACCTTCACTGAATTTAGGTTCTACCCAATTTTCTACTTTAGTTGTCCATATTCTGTTTCGGGATTGTAGCTGAGAATATGTCGGAAATACAGTAATATCTTGTTCTGCAACATCAGCATGAGCAGACATATGAAGCAGAATCTCCTCATCGGCAGTAAAACCACCGGCTTGAGAGGGAATACGTAAAGACGGCGGCATCTCATTAGCAGCGGAACCACCGGCTTGAGGAGGAACAGGTAAAGACGGCAGCATCTCATTAGCAGCGGAACCACCAGCTTGAGGGGGAACAGGTAAAGACAGCAGCATCTCATTAGCAGCGGAACCACCAGCTTGAGAGGGAACAGGTAAAGACGGTTGCATCTCATTAGCAGTGGAATCACAAGCTTGAGGGGGAACAGGTAAAGACGGCAGCATCTCATTAGCAGCGGAACCACCGGCTTGAGGGGGAACAGGTATAGACGGCAGTATTTCATTGGCAGCAGAATCACAGGCTTGAGAAGGAGCAGATAAAGGCAGTAGCATGTCCTGATCGGCAGCAGACCCATGGGCTAGTATCTCTTCATTGGAATCTTCTAGTCTTTGTAACAACTGGTT